TCCCTCCCTCCCTCCCTCCCTCCCTCCCTCCCTCCCTCCCTCCCCCTTTGCTCCTCTCCCTTCCTCTTCTTTTCCCGGTCCCCTCTTTAACCCCTCCCTTTCCTTCCAGAGTGAGAAGTTTGCTGGGAAAGATTTCTTCGACCGGCAGAACGAGTATCAGGTACTCCATCCTCTTTATCCCTCCTCCTCCCTCAGCCTCCTCTCCCTCCCTGTTTCTCTATTGTCATTCTTTTTCTTCCTTTTTTTCATCATCTGACTCCTTGCAGTTCAAGAAGCTCAAACTCTCCTCGGAGAACCTCAACGAGTTCTCCTTCGCTCCTGACATCAGTAATTGCTCCCTTCTCCTCCTCCTCCTACTGATCCTCCAGCTCCACCATCACCACCACCTCCTCCTCCTCCTCCCTTTCCACCTCTCTCGTTTCCTACCACCTCCACCACCCTCTTCCCTCCTCCCTCTCCCTCGCTTTCTCCTCTCCTCACTTGGCGAGTAGGGTCAGCTGAAGCACTGCTTCCTCCTGAGAGAAGGTCCGAGAGCTACCTGGATCGACTTGAGCGCCTGGCATACAGAGGTGCATGAGGAGGAGGAGGAGGAGGAGGAGGAGGAGGAACTGATGGAGCGACAGATAAGGATCAGATTCAGACTGTGCGCGACAGCATCAAGGAGCAATACTACTCTCAGGTTCTCCTCTTCCCCATTCTTGCTCCTCCTCCCTCCCTTCCTTTCTCCTCCTCCTCCTCCTCGATGAACATTTTCTTCTGCAGTTCTCCTTCAAGCCCCAGCTCAACGAGGTCTCCAAGCAGCTCGGGCAGGTTCCTCACTCCCTGCTCTCCTTCGCCTGCTCCTCAGCCGTCCGAGCAGGCGCACTCGATCCAGGAGCTCTACGAGGACACGGAGAGGAAGGAGAAGATGCAGCGGCTGATCCGAGCGAAGGAAGAGGAGCTTGAGCAGGAGGTGAGGGACGAGAGGGGGCTAGGACGCGTCTTACCCATCCTTCTCCTCTCAGTGCACCTTCCGCCCGCAAACTTACAGGCCGCCCAAGGGCCTGGAGAATGAATCATCCCAGCAGTCCCTCAACTGCCTTCAGCCTCAGGTTTTACTCCTCTTCTCCTCTCCTCTCCTCCTCCCATCCTCCTCTCTTCTTGTTTTGCTCCTCGTTCCAGGACACCCTCCCTCCTCCTCCTCCTCCTCCTCCTCCTCCTCCTCCTCCTCCTCCTCCTCCTCCTCCTCCTCCTCCTCCTCCCCTCTCACTCGCTGCAGGTCTCGTACGAGAAATCACGCTACTCCATCGACGTTCGCGACACCGAGACCCTGATCGAGAGGATGAAGGAGAAGCAGCGAAGCAAGATCGAGCAGGCGGCGCAGGAGAGGAGGAGGAAGGAGTACGAGGAGCTCAAGGAGTGCACCTTCACCCCGCAGATCCTCCGACAGACCCCCCGCCCTTCCTCCGCTCCCGTCCTCGTTCGCGGTCTCGGCAGGCACCTCGAGCTCCGCGAGCTCGCACAGCGACAGGTCAAGAGGAGGAGGAGGAAAAGCCTGTGTGTGTGGGGGGTTGAGCTGCAAGTCTGACAAGAAAGCAGGCGGAAGAGAAGGCGGAGCGAGAGAAAAAGTGAGTCAACTCCCCTCCTCCTCCTCAAGTGACGCCTGCCCCTATAGAGCCTTCCTCACAGATACGAAGTCCAGCGGCGTGAGGAAGCAATGCACAGTAAGCAGGAGGATAAAGAGGAGGAACTGTGCCCAGAGTTCTGACCCTCCTCCTCCTCCTCCTCCCTCTCAGATTCCCGAGCCGTTCAAGCTCAGCGGCAACGACTCCAAGCACGAGGTGCTCCCTCACTCTCTCCATCTCCCTCCCTCCTGTTGATGCTGATGCAGATGAAGCGACAAGCTCTGCGCAAGGTGAAGCAGCGAGCGATGCCTCTACGTAACAACGACGCGCAGGCCGTTGAAGGCAACCAGCTGGCTGAGTGTACCTTCAAACCCAAGGCAAGTCCTGTGAAAGAGGAGAGGAAAGTGAGGAAGACGAGGAGGAGACAGAGGAGGAGGATGAGGGAGGAGGGAGGAGGAGGAAGGAGGAAGGAGGAGGAGGGGAGGAGGAGGTAACGTGGGTTGTAGACGAACGAAGGAAGCGTGCGGGAGCTGTTGAACCGAATTCTGAGCGGAGAGGAGAATCCTTCACTGCTTCGGGCCAGATGACAAAACTTTGAAACTTTGAAACTTTGAAACTTTGAACAAGCCAAAAGATTGTAATGAAATTCATGTCCAGTTATCTGCTGCCCTCCGATATTTTCATGGAGACATAGGAACAACTCCTAGCTCATTTTGCTGTCCTCCGGATTACTGGACGTGGCTCCTTGAGGCGTATCTAGTGCACCTCAACTTTGGAGTCACCCCGTCGGTCCGGGTCATGTCCGAGCAGCTGGGAGGAGGAGAGGAGAGAAGGAGGAGAGGAAGGGAGGGAGGAGACATGAAGAGAAGATCAGAACTTGTGCGATCTCCACAAGATGAACGCATGCCTGAGTTGTGTTTCCTGTCCGTTGACCTTCCCTGTCTGCTCTCGGGATGATACACCCTGCGAACATGAACGCTTTCTCCGACGAGGACCTTGATTTGATGCGGAGGGTGGAGGAGGACGCTGCTAGGTGGCTGGGAGATGAAGAAGATGAGGAGGCGAAGAGCTTGAGCGTATGGATCGATGCTCTTGGGGAGACGTTGGAGAAGACTGAGGATCCCCTGCTGCGGTAAGTTTCGAGTATTGACGACGCTACTGATGTAGTCGTTGATGAAGCTGTTGATGTTGTTGCAGTAATAGTCGTTGATGAAAATGATGCAGGAGAGCTATGTTCAGCTCCTTCTTGAGGAGGGCGGAAGAACAGAAGAAGTCAGACAACATTGAGCAGGAGCAAGAGGATGCAGGCTCTGAAGATGATGAAGAACAAGCGGACGAAGACGCAAACCATGCAAGCTCAGTCTCCCCGACTTACAACCTGTGATTCGATTGAACCATCTTCTCCCGTGTGATGCATCATTCCAGCGAAGAAGAGATGAATGATGCGTTCGACGAAAAAGATGAACTAGAGGCCTCATACAAGGAGTACTGCCTCAAGCACGGCAAGACAGCACTTCTGCCGGTTGCTGACGTGCGAGGAGGAGGAGGAGGAGGAGTTGACGGGAGAGCTTCAGGTTATCAACGCCCTCAAGGTCAAAACTATCAAGGATCTTGACTGCTCCAACTACTCCATGGGAGACTCTGGTCTGGGCCCCTCATGCTGGTCGGCAACACTGACAGGTTTGTGAGCAGGAGCGACATGTATGGCGGCATATCTCCATCACCTGCTGTACCTGGAGACTCTGAAGCTGACAGGCAACAACATCCATGAAGCTGGGATGCTCGCTCTTGCAAAGTCTGCCAGACTCACTCGTGATGTGCCTGCTGAAAGTCTCGCAGGGCGTTCAGAGATTGCGAGCACCTCAAGGCGATTGTTCTTGACGACAATCGCATCGGGATAGCAGGCGCACGAGCGCTGGGAGATGCGAGCGTTGACAAGGCGTCATCGCTAGAAGTGCTCTCAGTGTCAAACAACAAGCTCACGGACCCTGCATGTGAGGTGTGAAGGGGTGAGGTCAAGAGCTCACCGTCATGGCAGTGGCGTACGTGATCAAGCAGCTAGTCGCCTGCAACAGGCTCAAGTTCCTCTCCATCGCCATGAACTCCATCGGAGACGCTTCCTGTGACTCCCTCACCAAGTTCTGCACCAAGAATCGCTCGCTCGAGAATTTGAACTGCAACTGGGGTTACATCCGTTGCAAGTCTGCTGAAGAAGTCGCAAACTCCCTGCGCTGGGTCAGCACCCTGACGCATCTTGACCTGGTTCAGAGAGGCAGAGGACCAGCTGAGAAGGAGCTGAGGTTGTGCAGGGTTGGAACGGGTTCGGAGATCCACTGCCTTGCGATGCTATCTGTGCGGAACTTCGGAGGAAAACCTGTAAGATCCGCTTCCTGAATCTCAGCCACAACCGCGTCAACCCGGAGACCTCGTGCATGCTGGCGTCAGCGATCGAGGCGAACAACTCGATCAAAACGATCATTTTGGACGGGAACCCGATGGGGAAGGTGGAGGGAGGAGAGGAGGAGGTGCTGCCGTGACATGCTCTGCTTGCAGATCGGATGTCGCAGGATGTTGAAGGCCTGTCACCATGCTGAGGACGAGGGTCTAGAGGTGCCACGTCACCTCGCCGACCTTTCCAGCTCCCTCTGAGCTGCAGCCCGGCAGGACCATCACGCACGGAGAACCACCCGAGACAAGAACGAGATACAGGTCTCCTTCAAGAACTGCAGGTTGGATTCTGTTGTGAGGTCTTGCCGTGATGCCCGGTGCGTCAGTTTCGAGCACAACCAAGTCACTTCCCAGTTCAACCCCTCCGAGCCCGGGGGCGAGTATCTGCTCGACATGGAGAACCCTTACTCTCGGCTCATCGTGTCGGACTTGTTGAAGATCGAGGCGCGTTCGAAGGGGCAGGTTGACATGCGAAGTCTCAGAAGACGCTCTTGACAGTGACGGCAGTTTGTGCGACACGCTATGATGATGGATGGTAAACCCTACGTGCTCCCCAAGTGGAAGGACTTCGACCAGGAGCCTTTCGTGCCAGACTGTGAGACTTGCAAACTGGCAAGGGAGGATGAGGGATGAATTGACGTGGGGGCAGTGGGAGAGCTTGAGTTTCGATTCATCAGCCTCAGAAAATTTGCAAAGGGTGAGGACTTGGTGTGCTCGTAGCGAGAGGATGACACAGCAGCAGCCACCGACAAGCTGCCGGACTCAATCTTCCAGAGGATCCTGCTCAAGTTCGAAGACAGAGGAGGAGCGTCGATGACTCCGGAGGAGAAGAGGCACTGGCTGCACAACCGATATCACCTGCTGAGAATGGCGAGCAGGATCGGCAAGCTCGAGTTCTTCGATCTCTACATGACGTCGGACACAACAATCTCCCTAGAGCAGGCCTGCTGCCTCCTCCTGCCGCTAGGTCAGTGACGGTGTGTCAGGCGAGGATGCTGCTGTCCATCCTGCAGAACACGGAAGACAGGATCCACTTCGTTGCGACAGTTTACCTCAAGGTGAGAGCTCGCTTGCCCTGCCGCACTCACGATGGTACCAGATGAACTCTACAGCAGCTCCGAGGAAACTTCTCAACGACCTTGACGACAAGGAGAGGAGGCTGCTGGAGAGCTTGCTGGGGCCTGAGAGCTACCACTTCACCCCCAACAACCCGACCGGTCACTATCGGCTCGACCTGTCGAAGCACGACGAGCGAGAGGTGAGAGAGAAGGGCGGGGGCGAGGATGACGTGGCGACAGGTGGCCCTTAGACTGCAGGAGCTGAGGATCGATCAAGATCAGGTAGACCAGGAGCTGTTCAGCACCGTGTCCAAGCATGCGGGAGGAAGCAGAAACAGAATCGAGCTGGTGTGGAGGAACACCATGCACAACGGAGAGCCGTTCAAGTACAAGCTTCACTTCAGCGTTCCCACCTCCGGGGTCTTGGAGCTCGACTTTGTCGAGTTGCTGAAGCCGCAAGACAAGACGGACAATCTCATATGCATCTCCGACGAAGACTGGATGGCTTTCCTGGAGCATGTCAAGGAGGTGGGGCCGGTGAAGGCTCTGATCGCTTTCCGTCTCATCTCCAACACTGAGCTCTTCCTCACCCATCACGTCAAGGAGCTTCTGTGCTGCTTCGGCAAGGAAGCCCCGGAGTGAGTCCCGGAGTGAGCGCGTGCTAGGATGACGCCTGCTGCAGGACCTTCAGGGTCGAGGTCTGCGTCATCGCCTTCGCTCGCACCATCGACTGGCACGAGCTCTTCGGGGCCTCTGGCCTGTTCCGCAAGACCCTCTCCAAGACTGAGCGCAGGATGCTGACGCAGCGTCTCGGGGCGGTAAACCTCTTCGACCACGTGATGGCGGTGGACTACTACGAGCTCGACGCCTCCAACGAGGAGGATCGCTGGATCATGCAGGAGATCGTTCACTTCGCGGTGGCGGAGCCGGGGGAGAACTGTGTCAACGAGACGTGGAACGGGATGGACTGGGAGACGCCCAAGGGGTGAGTGAGAGGAGAGGAGGCGAAGGAGCTGAGACTGCTGCAGGTGGGTACAAGAAGCGCCCAAGTTCGGGTTGTACACAGTCTACTACTGCAGGGAGAGAGAGACCGTGGAGAAAGTGATGGCAGAGGCTAACGCAAAGCACCCTTGCTCTCTCGAGAACGACATCATCCCCGTGGGAACCAGCTGGGTCGATGACTTCATGCTGCATCAGATCAAAGAGAAGCTGGAGGAGACCTTCCTCTCAGCTGAGGACTGCTTCGAGCAGATCGACAGAGACGGAGGAGGAACGCTCGACGTCAAAGAGTTCGCCACGGGGCTGGTGCAGGTGCTGTGGATTGACTTTGACTTGCCTGCCCTCACCTGGACACAGCTTGGAATCTGGTTGAGGCCGCACGAGTTGAGAGGTTTCTTCTCCAAGATTGACCAGGACGGCAGCGGTCAAGTCGATCTTGACGAACTGCAGGAGTTCTGGCAAGAGTACTGAAGGTGATGTCACCTGACGGCCCTGCGTGTATGTACGATAGCGAGTGTGAGCATGAAGACAGATCGGAGGATCGTTGTGTCGCTACATGCTCTCATAAAGTTTAAGAGATCGTTACCGTCTCAAGTTGCATGTTTCAGACTCAACCCAGTTGTCGGGTTGGAGACTTCTCATGCCTGTGTGTTCATTTGCTCTATGACTTGTCAACTGTCCTAAATTTTTACATATGATAGACCTGAGGTGGGCTTGTGTTCCATAGAGCGAAAAACCACGATTTTCAAGTGAAGGATGCGAGAGCGAGAAGAGCAAGAGCAAGAGCAAGAGCAAGAGCAAGAGGAAGAGGAAGGGAGGGAGCGAGGGAGGGAGCGAGCAAGGGAGCAAGGGAGCAAGGGAGCGAGGGAGGGAGGTACACCAGCCATGACTATCATGCTCAGGTATTCTCCATGCAAGAGAAACCTCGAAATCCTGCCGGTTGGCAGCCGACGAGAACAACATGGGTAGGAAGACAACGAGAGGAGAAGGTTGGCAAGGAGGAGGAGGAGGAGTGTGTTTCTTGTGCCATCTCGTCGATCGAAGATCTTGTCCTCAGCACATCCAGTGAAGGAAGACTCGTTGTCGCACTTGCTCCAAGGGACTCGGTGCTTAGGGAAGGTGACGTTGTGCAGCGGATCGGAAGTCACGACGTGAGGGGATTGAGCTGCGAGGAAGTGCAGGAGAAGTTGAGGGAGGGAGGGAGCGGCACCATGACGATTATGGTGACGCGGCAGAGAACAGAGGCTCCGGAGAGACTGCCGGCATCCTTGAACGAGGCTACAGTGGAGGGGAGGATACTTTCAACCTGCAGGCGCGTTGCTGATCACGTATCGTATCTCGAGAGGTCAAGGTTTGGTTGGCTCTTGCGGACTTCACTTGGTGCCATGTTTGCTGTTGCGAGCATCGCCTATCACGTCGCCAGCAGTGCGATCTGTCTGCTCATGTTCTTTGTCTCGCCCTTCCTCGGAGAGAAGGTCGAGGTGCCGTACGAGGATCGGTTTCGGAGTTTGACATCGTCGAGCTCTAGAGAGTGAGTGCAGTAGCCCCTTCCCTCCCCTCCCCTCCCCTCCCCTCCTCTCCTCTCGCCTTTCCTCTCGCCTTTCCTCTCGCCTTTCCTCTCGCCTTTCCTCTCGCCTCGCCTCGCCTCGCCTCGCCTCGCCTCCTCCTCTCTCCTCCCGTCCCCTCTCGTCTCGTCTCCTCTCCTCTCCTCTCCTCTCCTCTCCTCTCCTCTCCTCTCCTCTCCTCTCCTCTCCTCTCTTCTCCTCTTACGCTTCTGAAGCGAACTCGATATCTCGCTACTCCACCTGTCTGCAACGGAGATGGCGGAGGTACGAGGACATTTCACCTTTCCTACCAGTGAAGATTCACCGAGCAGGGAGTTCGGAATGGAGATTTCACTTCCTCTCAGCTTGTGGACCTGTCGATCCGGCAGATCGTGAGAGTCAACAGAAGCATCAACGCGGCTGTCGCTGAGAGGTTCGCGCAAGCCAGACAAGAGGCTGCACGTGCTGATGAGGTGAATGTTTGTTCATGAATGTCTCCTGACTATCTCTGCTTCTCTCCTTCCTCCACCCTCCTCATCGTCCTCCTGCGTCACTGCCTCCCTTCCGCCCTTCCTCTTCTTGCTTCCTCCCTCTTCCTCCTCCCCTGCCTGAGTCTCTTTCAGAGAGTGGCTGAGGCACGAGCAAAAGAAACCTTAGACAGCCTCCCTCCTCTCCTCGGGGTTCCTTTCAGCGTCAAGGTGAGGACAGGGCGAGTAGGGAGCGAGTGACCAGGGGTTGCAGGAAAGCTTCTCTGTGCAGGGGATGCCAAACACTTCAGGCTTGATTGCAAGGACGGGAAGAATTGCACATGTAGATGCTAAAGTTGTCAAGAGACTACGGTGATCCGGCTGTCGTACTCTTCCCCTCCTCCTCTCCCTCTCCTCCTCTCCCTCTCCTCCTCTCCCTCTCCTCCTCTCCCTCTCCTCCTCTTCCTCTGACAATCCTTTCAGAACTGCAGGTGCCATCCCTGTCTGCGTGTCCAACGTCTCAGAGCTCTGGTGTGAATCTCCTAATACCTTCCCTTACCCTCTTCTCCCCTCGCTCCCTCCCCGCCTGCTCAGACTTGCTGCAGTATGTGGATGGAGTCCTACAACTACGTCTACGGGCTGACCAAGAACCCTTACTCGCTCCGACACTCTGTGGGAGGAAGCAGCGGAGGGGAGGCAGCCCTCGTCGCAAGCTGGTGAAGGGGAGAGGGTTCGAGGAGGAGGGAATGGAGGAGGGGGAGGAGGAGGGGGAGGAGGAGGAGGAGGAGAGAGCTCGTAATGTGGCAGCAGTTGTGTTCCCTTTGGTGTTGGGAGTGACGTAGGAGGAAGCATTCGGATCCCTTCGGCTTTTAACGGAGTGTTCGGACATAAGGTCCCTCATACAGTCGTCTTACTCCTCCTCCTCTTTCTCCTTCCCCTCCTCCTCCTGACCCTCCTTCCCCTCCTCCTCCTCCTCTCCCTCATCCTCATCATCCTCACCTTTCTCTTCTCCTCTCCCTCCTGCTCTTTCACCACCTCCCCTGATTCCTTGTCGTCTCCCCCTCCTTGTTCTGCCCTCCTGCTTCTCACGATGACCTTCAGCCGACCGGGGGTCTGATCCCCAACGACGGGCAGCATCCCATCAGCGGAGGTTCTGCGCGTCACGTCCTCGCAACTGGTGACTCAATTCTTGTCTCTCAGCTCTCCCCTTCTCCTGCCCCGTCAAAACCTCCTGCACCTGCTCCTCCCCATCCTCCTCCCTACCTCCTCCTCCTCCCCCTCCTCCTCCCCCTCCTGCTCCTGCTCATCCTACTCATCCTTCTTCGCCCTCGTCCTCTTGCTCCTCGACCTTGGAATCCCCATCAACGTCTCGCAGGTCCGATCTGCAAGCGTGCGTGCGACCTCCTTCCTCTCCTCCGGATTTTCGCGACGCCGTCGAAGCTGGCAGACGTCAGCTCGCTTGCGCTTCCTGTGCCTTCACTTCCTCCCTCCTCCTCCTCTCTCACTCTCACGACAGGAGAAGACCCTCGGTGACGGTCGCGCGATCGACCTCTCCAAGATCCGGTTCGTGTCTGTGAAGGCCAGCAACCATCTCCTGACGACGCGAGTGAACAAGTTGCTCAGCCCCTCCTCCTCCTCCCATCTCAGCTTGTGAGCAGGGAGATCGTCAAGAGGCAGGAGGCGATCGAGCAGTTCTTGGAGTCAAGGTCGCCGCTCCCCTTTCATGTCTGACTTTGACTGCTGCCACGTCAGAGGTGCGGAGGTGCGACGAGTCTCGACCCTCCCCTTCCTCTCACGAAGTTTACACCTCTGGTGTCTCGCAAGTTTGACTAGTTTGACAACTGACAGTCTCTCAGGTCCACGCGGCTTCTCCTCGCCCAACATGAGAGGAGCAAGTGAGAGATCTCCTGTTCTTTTTGGACCTCCTCCTCCT